GGGGGGGGGGGGGGGGGGCGGCTACTAGTAGTAGTAGTAGTAGTAGAAGCAGTAGTAGTAGTAGTAGCAGCAGTAGTAGTAGTATAGTACTAGCACTAGTCGCAAGAAGCAGCAGTAGTAGTAGTCCTCGTAGTGGTTGTTGTTGTGGTGGTAGTAGCAGCAGAAGCCACTGCTACTACTACTACTACTACTACCACTGCTGCTGCTGCTACTATTGCTGCTACTATTGCTGCTGCTGCTGCTGCTGCTGCTGCTACGATTACGACTACGACATATGAAATACGACATACGACGTACGACATACGACGTACGCCTACGACAACAACAACAACAACTACTACGACGACGACGACAACAACAACTACTACTACTACTACGACGACTACTACTACTGCTTCTGCTGCTACTACTTCTACTACTACTACTACTACTACTACGACTACGACTACGACTACGACTACGATGATGGTAGGAAAACATGGAAAAAGAATAGGACGAGTAGTAGGAGGTAGTGTTGGTAGTCCGTGGTCCGTAGTCCGTAGTCCGTAGGTACTACGTCGTGCTTAATGCGTAGCGCGCAGTAGTACGCAGTATGATACATAGCAGCAAGCAGCAAGACGTAGCAATACGTAGTGCAGCAGTACGTGGTAATATGCAGTGGCACGTAGTAGTCCCGCTGCTACAGCTGCTGCTGCAAAATGACTACCGGTACGGTCAATCAGACAAAGCTGCAAAGCTTGCTTGCCCACTGCCCTTTTTCTGCGCCCCAATCCCTACTGCAAAGACGAAGGTTCCAAACGTTCAATCAGGATCAAACTAAGAACATGCGAAAGTTCACCCATCTCAGGCCACGCCTGGCAGATGGACGAGATTCTGAGATGCACTTCAGGTGCTGCTAGCTTCCGGCTGCTTTACTGTACATGCAGCCTTTCGGAAGGGCACTAGAACTGAACGCGAGCCTTCCAGCAGGTGCAGGGGCAGCATCTGATGTGCTAAGCGCGTGGCATATACCGAAAGGAGGGATGCCTGCTTCGGTGCCAGGTCCGGCTCGATTGCGAATGGATCGCCCTTAGCCTGCGGCTGCAGCGGCTCCAGCAGTGCTTGGGCCACTTGCCCAATGCAGCTTGCTAGTCCAGCTGCTGCATAGCCCCCCTCAAGGCCGAAGAGCATGCGGCCCTGGCAAAGATGGTTAGCTAGCTTTTTGAGTTCTGTCGTGATCTTGCCAAAGACAGCAGGCGTGCACATCGCATCACCGAGAGGGTCTCCTTCCACAGCATCGAAACCGGCACTGACAAGCATCAGGTCCGGCCGAAATCGCTGTGCAGCTGGAAGCAGCACTTTTGCACAGGCTAGCCAGAGGCACCCATCGCCGTAGCCAGGGGGCATGGCGACGTTTATGGTGTAGCCCTTACCAGCGCCAACCCCAGTTTCTGTAGCTGCTCCGGAATTGGGATAGAATCCTTTTTCGAACTGATGGATGCTTACCACCAGCACCTCAGGATCTGACCAGAATATTTCTTGGGTGCCCTGCCCGTGATGCACGTCCCAATCGAAGATCAGCACACGCTTCACTACGTCCGGGTACCTGTTGAGCATAGGCGAAGGACATGTGGAATCAACATCCTTGCAACAACTGCCCATACTCTGCCCATGCTATCGTTACTGATCTGCTTCTGGTTTGTCTTGCAAAACTGCCTGGCCCTTGCGTACTGCGCCGCAACAGCCACGTTGTTCAGCAAGCAGAAGCCAGTGCTGCTGCAGCGGCCAGCGTGGTGACCTGGAGGCCGGCAGAAGGCCAAGCCCTGCCGAATTCCGCCCATCAAGCACTCCTGAGTTGCGGATTGGCTTGGATAGCAGGATGTTGCAAAGTACTCAGATTGATTGCCTCACAGAAAGTAATCCTGAAACAACATCTCGTTTAATCTCCAGCAACACAACGAAATCTAGTGCTGGATTCCCCCTCCAATCTTCGTAAGTCCTTCTGAAGTGGGGCGCTGAGCCGAGCATCGTCCACCAGGGCCAGGAGTGCTCCCGCGGCGAAGCGAGCAGCCTGGAATTCCAGAAGCTCAATTATTTGTGGCTTCCTTATTTGTGCGTCTTGGGATTCAGATAAGGAGGGGCGCTTCGCCGCACTCACTGCCGTCAGTGGCTTCCAGATTCACCCGTCGCCTTGCAAAGCTGCGGCCCTGCTGCGCCTACATAAGAGACACTGTGTCTTGCACTTACCTGGCTTGTAAAATGCAGAAGATCCAACAAAAGCCACAGGGTGCCACATTCAATCTACGAAGCATCCGCATTACATGATCCCTTTGCGGGACATGCATGATTCGGTAAGTGCGGAACACAGTCGGCACCTTTTCATGATGACATCTGCCTTTGGACTCTACAGGTGTGGCTCGCCTCGAGGGAGCCAGCTGTGAGGTAAGTATCGCGGCCCGCAGACTGCTTAGTTGTCAAGGAGTCCTGCGGCAAGTCCAGAGCTGCAATCAGCATGAATTCCCAAAACTTGCAGCGCATGTCTTGTTGACAGTGGGTCCGCATCGAATCTCTCCAGACAGCCTCCCGGTGGCAGCCACAGTGGCCGCCTGCTGGAGCTGTGCGAATTCAAACACTGCGTCATCGTGTGGATTTGACTTTGGTGCACAGGTTTAGAATGGTTGCTTTGCTAGAAGGCCAGGCGGCCCTGACAGCCTTTGAGAAAATCAGATCTACATCCAGGCTTGGGATGCATCATGTGCCGCGCATACTTGGGGTTCACCCGGCTGACTTGATAACATGTGCCATCCGGCCGCCAAGTCAACACGGCAAACGTTCCAACCCAACATCTTGCACCTCACAATATACTATAGTAGTTTTCATGTTCTTTTCCATTATCCCTATATAATCCCACTATACTATAGTAGTTTCCATTTTATTTTCCATTATCCCTAATAACTTCCAACATCTTCCAAACCTTCAGATTCTTCCAAGTTCCCTTTCCGGTGTGGAAACCCCAAACCCCAATTTGAGACATGCATCACGAAGACACATCCACATCTCATCCCTGCACAAACTGCAGCAGTCCCGGTGCTGACAAACCTGCAGAGCACACCCAGCCTGAGCTTTGCAGCAGCAGCTGCTGCAGCCTCGAGGCCTCAGAGATGGCTTCTTTTTGCGGTTTGATTCCTCAGCCTGTGCAGAAGCAGGGTTCAGAGCTTAGTATCAGTTTGCCTAGGCTATTGCAACAACCATCCCCAGCGTTTGACGTTGTATGCAATGCATTTCAAAAAAAACAGATAGTTTGTTACCCCGGTCTTCATTGAAGTCCCCATCACAACCCTCGATCTCTGTAAGAGAAGATCACCATACAACAATAGCACCAACGTTTCACGCTGGCAACGACAAGAGCAGGGTCATAGTGTCAGTGATAATTTATAGCAGAGGTTCTCGGCATACAAAATGTGCCCTTATTCCTTCTTCTCTTACTGGTTCTCAGTGGGGAACAAAGGAATATAATCCCCGTATAACCTCTATATAATATGTTTCCATATTCCGTGCTAACCCCCAGTAAGTTCTAGAATCAAAAGGAAAGCCCTCTCCGAGAGGATGGCCAGCCAAGTGCTCCATGGAATGGCAGAGGGCCAGCTCCTGGACGAAGGACTGATTCCACTTTCTGTTGCGATGGCTAGCACTACTGTAAATCACTACTATTTCCTTGTTCTACTACTGCTACTCCAGCTCTCTCAAGGAGATCACCATTGCAGCCTCCCTTTGCCGGACTAATTGTGGCACATATCTACGCCTGGTAGGTCGGACGATGCGTGTGTGCACACTCCGGAGTGGCACGGCGGAGAAAACAACAGACCTTTAAAAGCATGCGAGAAAGCTTCAGGTTTTCCAACAGCAACAAAGGTCAGCAACACGTTCAACTGGCTTTGGGCTAAAAGGAAACCTTGCCCAAACGAACGCATGGCACCTCCTGCTCCGCTCTGCGGGCCTGGTCAATGCGAAGCCAGCACTTTGGGATGGCGGGAGGATGCAGGAGGTGTGCTCAGCATCTGTCTCGGAACTCTGCTTCATACATGCACACGTACAACACCCATCTGGAAAGCATAGGGTGGAGTCATGTGGAGTCCCTGTCGCGAGCATTTCTATGAAGGCACCCTGAAATGTACCAGAGCCCCTGCAAGATTCCCATGTGATTGCATGCCCAGAATGCTCTCAACTCGCCAAGGCGCAGGGAGACAAGTCAGCTTCGGCCAGAGGCCTTGTGTGGACTTGTGTGGCTTCAGGCTGTGCTTCTGGGGAGGAGCCTTCGGCCCATGCGCTGCAAGTGCAGCTATCGTTCAGCAATCACTCGCAAACGCAAAAAGGACCGGCAAACATACTTGTCCCTGAATCTTCCGATGCAGCTCCCCTCCCTATGGCCTGTCAGCGTGAGACCGGCAAGGCAGGCTCGGAGACGCTGGGGCTCCTCGGTAAGCGCAAACAGGGTCATGTTGACTTCGAAGCGCAGCGGGGTTTAGGGTTTGGGGTTAGGGTTGAGGCTAAGGCTTGATTTTTTTTTTGAGCGAGGACTTGGCAAAGCCAAAAACAGGTACCCTAACGAAAAGCCTTACACCCCTTCGCTGCGCGATGCCATGCTGCATCGCGGGAGTGCATTTTGAGAAGCAGCTTACACCTACATCGCCATCCCCGACTAACACCCTCAAAGTTAAAGGAGTGAGTATAATGAACACCAAAAGGTACAAGGTCCATCATAGTCATAGGACAGGGTTGGCTAGCCACCTCCCTCAACCTATCGGGGGATAATGTAGTTGTAAGCCTTAGCCCGCAAACTGTACAATTGGCTTGGCGGCAGGTGTGATGCCAGCTATGCCAAGGATGAGTGGTGCGTAAATGCGCTAAAAACTCAACTTTAGTGGGCGGTTTCGGGCCAATGGGCTTGGTCCGTTGTTTCCCGTAAGCCTCTAAAATGCGCTGAACACGTGGGATGAGATGCTTC